GGGGCCGTCCGCTGCTGGTGGGCAGTCGCGGCCCTGCCAGCCTTACGCCGGGCTTCCTGGCGAAAAATAGCGTTTTTCACTGAGGAAACGGGCGTCTCTCCCTTGGCGGGGAGAAGGGCTGAGGAGAAGCGTGGGGGTGAGGCGGTGGGAGAGCGGGGCCCCTGGGGCAGTGAGCCCGCCAAGCCTTTGGGGCAGGGACAAGCAGTGTTGGGCCTGCGAGGCAGGTGGGTGTACCTCCCTGTGCAAAGGATACCTTAATTTCTCTTTTTAACTATAGATGTCTTGTAACGTTTCAGAGTCTGTTGCCATGGATGGAGACGCAGAGCGTGACAAAGGTAATGTGAGGTGGTTTGAAAAAAAAAAAAAATATCAATCATCACACAACCCATAATCTTAATTTAAACCACATTTGAGAATAATTCTTTTTTTTTTTTTTTCTCTTTCCACTCCCTCAAGTTGAAGACGTTGTGGGCTGCCATGTTGAAGATGCTGTAACATTTTGGGCACAGGTGAATTTGGAGAGCTCTTTGATTTTAACTGAGGTGTTTAATCTTACCTCCCACTACCCCCTCCCCACAAGTTTCTACAGAAGTGAGAATTGATAGCATCGGATCTTGGGGGGGGGAAGTTAATTTAGATTTCAGAATTGCAAATATTATTGTGCTCTTTTAAGCTGAAATTAGTTATTCTTTCTGAAATGACAAAAAGCATTGTTCATCATCATTTGGATTGTAGCTGGCTTTTTGACTATTTGGTAGCCCCCCCAAATAAATAAATTGAGTGTTAAAATACTTGCTGTTGGCTAAAGAATACTGTAGGAGTCAGCTGGAGCTCTGCTGGGGGTGATTTCCCTGCTCTCTAACAGCTGAGCGTTTGGGACAGTTTCAATGAGGCTTGAGATGGAGATGGTTCAGAGATGCTAGGTCCTTTCAAATTTTGTGTAGATGGGCAGGGGGAGCAAGGAAAATTAAAAACCTTGGAACAGTAAGTAGTTTTCATTAATGGGGTGGTGGTGGTGCAGCAGGGAGAGGGGAAAAGCCAGGAGTACTAAAGCTTGCCTCTTCTATTTTGTCTGGTGGCTGATTGGTGTGTGTGTATTAGTCGACACCTGTGTAGCTTTGAGCCAGTTAGAGGAGGTAATGCTGCTTTGTCGTGTCCCCAACGGGAATTTGGGGAGGGGGACCAAACTTTACTCATTCTCTTAATGGAATAGCTTCTTCTAATAAAGAGATTTTTGGATGTAATAGTCATAGGTTATTTTGCTTTAGATTCTTACCCTGGCATTCTGAGACTCAGTCACAGTGTTTTATTTAATATTGTAAGGTACAAAAGTTAGGAGTGTACTTCTAAGGTTAACAAAATGTTTAGTTGCACTAGTGTTTTGTTTCCTGCTCTGAGCTCTGGATCATTTCTTTTGAATTAGCAGTAGAATGTTGTCTAATAAATGCCATGTTACTGAAATCGACCCAGTCTTATGGTGGTTCAGATACCAAGTTGTAACTGGCAAGGCTCTGCTCTCAGCTGAACCAAAACCCAAGTGTTGTATGTAAGGAGAACAGGGGGCATGAACAGCACAGAGCTGTTGTCTCATTGTATTAAGGAGAGAAAGAGAACACCAAATACACACTACAATTTGTGAGGAAGGATTAATAAGTAAGATCTGCATACTGCTCACAGAAGCTGGTTATTAAACTGTTAAAAAGGTTCGTTGCAAACTATTTCTCTGGGGTACGTTACCTGCCCCTGATCCGTGTCATTAATTTTTTGAAAGAAAATGAGACCAAGCTTACAAGTGCAACTAAAATCATGAAGATTGAAAGCTTAAGGTGGGACATTACTTGTCTCAACAGCAGGGCAACTGTTTTGATTTAATTTTTGGCTGTTAGAATCTGTCAAGCATCTGTTAAAAGTGACAGTTAATAACTCGTACCCTCTCTTCACACTTCTTAGAACGTCAGTAGATGTAATGACCTCTTGAAATTAAGTTGTGCACTGGCGGAAGCTTGTCCTCAGGCTAATGCAGTTTTTGGCAAACCTGATTTTAGTAAGGTGAGTAGGTTGTGTATATGTGGAGTTGGTTTTTCACCTAGATTTAAAAGCCTTAATTCTATGCAACCTTTTTTTTTTTTTTTTAAAAAAATTTCTTGATCTTTGTTAATGCTGTGGGTTATATTCTCTTAAGGTCTCTTTAAGAACTGCTGGCTTTCCTAAAGGAAAGGCTTATTTTGTGTGAGCAAGTTTAAATCTTTCTGCACTTAAGATTTCCGTTAAATTATGCAACCATACATATTTTTTTTTAACACTCAGGAAATACTACAAGAAGGTAATATACAGAATGCTGAATTCTCTTTGGTTGTCCAGTATATATTATGGGTTATCTTTAACAAGAGAGCAATGTTTTTTGAGAGAAGTGTTTCTTTGCTCCATCTCAAGAAGTGTGGAAGATCTTACAAAAGCCTGTAATATTAAATGCGCTGGACAAAGTACTCGTAATAAGGTAACAAGGACATATTTAATAGCAGTTCTACGACAAGCATACGAAGGGTGATGACAACTTTTGGTTTTGTGTGTGAACTACTGATGGATTATCGCAAAGTAAGGTGTAAATAAAACGATTTCTCTGAACTGTTTCTGTGTGCAGGTAAAGTACCTTCTGCATTCCTCTTGAAGAAAATGCACCACCAGCAAACCCAGCATGTTTGTGGTGTGATTGTCCTGTTCCTTTGTCGGGCTTACTAAGCCATCAGTGTCAATAAAATGTTGTAGCAACACATTAACAGAAAAGCCATGAGAGTCTGCTGTGTAAAATGCTGGTGTTCTTCTAGTTGCAAAATTTTCTTTGAGCTATTGTTTTTTGAGTAGAGGATTATGTTTTTGAAGCATTAGCATATATTGTTGTGAGAGATAGGATATCAAATCTATTAGTTTTCATACTGCTGTTGGGGTGATTATAGGAGAGTATGAAAATAAGATTTGTAGTGTACTACAATTACTGTATTTAAATTACCACTTTGAGGTATGCTTATATTTTCAGAATGCTATTATTGATCTTTTTTTTTTTTTCCCCCTAATTTCCAGATTTATGGTGGGTGTTTTTCTGAAGATGGATGTTGGTACAGATGCATGGTACAGCAAGAGATCAACAGTGAAAAGGCAGGAACAATTCTTTTTAAATCTTTAATTATGTGTCAGTCCTACCTGCAGGATGATAGGAATAAACGCAACTCCTCTTGCTGAAACTTGCTGTGTGAACGCATTTAAAAACAGTGTGAATATATACACATGGGACACAAATTCAGGTGACCTGTAATTTTGAAAAATGCTGATGAGGAGACTGGCAAAACATGACGTACTTGCGAATTGCTGTTTGTATCTCTTGATGAAGACATTCACAAGTGGTAGTTAACATTGTTATGTGATGTAATTTAATTTCAAAACTTCTGAGTGGCAGCCTTTTGTGACATGTTAGCACTGATGCAAATGACCTGAAAGAGTTCTTAATCATCATTAGGTGACTGATACAGAAGGCTGGTAGTTCCTGTTTAAAATTATAATTTCTAGACAGGCTGGTTGGCTTGGAAACATTAAGTTGCATATCTGTCCATTGAAGAAAGTCTTCTACATTGCTGCTTAATTTTTAATTTTTCCCTTAGAGGAAAAAAAATATTTGCCAGCAAAGATCTGTTTTGTTACTTAAAGTTTTGCCGCTGAGCTTTTAGACAGGTGCCAACCTAAGAGATTTCTCTAACTCTGTTCCTTCCTCTGAAGGGTGTCTAGGCTTAGTACAGACGATTCTGATCTCTGCAATGTGCCTGTGTGTTAAAATGCTTATATTCTAGTTGTTGTCAGCGCATATTTCTGCAGGAGGTTTGTGTAACCTCTGCTGGTTTATGTTTTATATTATTGTTGCAGTGTCAGGTATTGTATATTGACTATGGAAATTCTGAGGTTCTGAATAGATCAGACATAGTTGAAATTCCACCAAACCTGCAATGTCCAAGCGTTGCCAAGAAGTACAGACTCTGGGGACTGCAGATACCAACTGATCAGAACTTAAACATGTTTGATGAGGTGAGTACCAGATTTTTGAAGCATTTAAATGATGGGATCTGTAACAGATGCTGCCAAATACCAGCACAGTGTCACCAGGAGGAGTCTTGTAAGAGCTGGATGTTTAACCATGAAGGCAGGTCATGCTGGGAAGGACTGTCTGATCTGTTGGCCTGGGCATACTCTAGAAACTAAAATGGTTTTGGCAAAAATGGTTCAGATTGTGCTGGGAAGTGATTTTTTTTAGAGTACACTTTTGCCATCTTCAGAGCCTCAGGTCTATTTCTGACTGACCTGAGTACTTTCTGGTGATGAGGAAACAAGGTACCTCTTTGTCTTTCCCTTCAGAGGGAAAAATAGCTCCCTTGGCCACAGAACTTGCAATAAATTCACTTTTGTCTGTGAGCTCCTCAAATACTGTGTGCCTGAGTACAAACTTTTGGTCAAGAGAGGGAACAGCAGGTGAATGTGAGTGGTAGTAGGTGTCCTATCATCCCTGACCAGCAATGAAGGTGAAAGGCTCAGGAGCTGGTGCCCACAGGACTGGTAAAAGCTTTGAGCCCTGTTGAGTGGCACTGGTGACTGTTGGTAGAGTTTTACTAGTGGTGGTCTCTCTTTCTGGGACACCACTCATTCTACAGTCTCAATGGCATGATGCTTCAAGGCTTGGCGCTGGCACTGCTCATACTTCACCAGTCGAAGCCTTGGGAGAAGCAGTTGCTGGAGGAGGAGGCAGGAGGCAGGTGTCCTGCTAGCCTTGTATCCTACTGTTAGAGGAGATCCAGAGACCCTGTGTATGGTCTCATCCCTGTGGTCCTAGTAACATTGCTTAATGTGATTACTTAAGACAGGTGAAAATCTCTCTTCTCAGTTCCCCAGGGTTTTGTTTTGTTAGTGTGGGATTTTTTTAATTATTTATTTTGAAAACAGTTCTTGTTGCTTGAAATAAAGCTTTATTTGCTTGCTCTGTGCAGCTTTCCTGCCCCCACCCCTTTCATTCTTAATTTTTAGCAAAACCAGCTTGTTATCAGAAGTGGTGGCAAAAAAAGAAAAAACCCCTGATAATGAAAGATAACTTTATCCCAGATGTCTGCTGAAGGTCTTGAGTGAATTCCCTAGTCTTCCAAAGTAGTTTTTATTTGATGTTAGTGGTGAAGCTGATAGCTGCCAATTCTGGCATTTACCAATTTTTAAATGGGTAGTTTCAGTAAGGTAGGTTTCCATAGGGTAGATACACATCATAATTCATTTGTTGCTATGTTCTGTTTCAACTGCTGGACCACTTATTGAAAGGGTTTTTAAACAATGTAATAATTCAAATATTTTTTTTCATATTATTTTGTATAATACTGTTAAATAATTGGTCTAGTATCCTCTAAAAGACTTGGATAACCCAGTTGCCAACTTCTGTTGAGAGTTGATGGGACTTCTGTCACTTATAAATGATACTGAATTCTGCAAAGCTGAACATTAAGGGCGAACTACTGGTGTTGGATTTCGGTCTGGCGTTGACAGTGATTAGGTCAAGTACAGTTGTAGTTGTACAGATACAGCATTGTTTCAGAGTAGATGTGTTAAACATAAGGTTTACCTGTGCAGCTCTTTGGGTTTTGGTCTTAAACATATCCTCTTTTTCTTAGAAGAAAGATGGCTGATTTCAGCTAAAAGTATTCAGAGTGTTCAGTACACAACTTCAGTGTGTTTTTATTTTACAGGGGAAGAAGTTCTTGAGCAGCCTGGTTTTTGAAAAAGAAATAAAAATATGTCACAAAGGCAAGCACGAAGATGGTACCATTATTGCCCGGGCAGAATATGAAAAAATAGATATTGGAGAAGAGGTGGCCAAGGCAGGGTTTGCTGAAAAATGCACATCTCCAGGAAACGCTAAAGATGCTGAAGAGAGAGAAGTAGATGTCATGCAAAACCAACATCGGAAGATAAAAGTTTCAGTTCCGCTGTGGCTAAACAGGTCTGATCACGCACTGTACGGCATCCCAAGAAGGCGCTGTGACCAAGTAGCTGCCAGCACAAGGAATCAGAATTTTACTGGAAACCGTGCATTTGCCCCGAAGTAAGGAAGTGGGATGTCATAGAAAACTTTGTATGTGACGTATTGTATGATCTGATTAGCTTAGTTGCTGGGATGTGGGTACATGAGAAGATGTAGGGGGAAGTGAGTATCTAATATACAAAGTTTGATTTCTGTCTTTCCAGCATCAAGTAATGCTGGTACACAATGGAAGGGAAGTATATGTGAGTCTGTGTGTGTGCGCCTGTTTGTGTATGCTGTGGAGAGGGGAATTAGGACATTAATCTGTAAAAAACTTGTTCATTAGTGTTGTTGCTCGTTGGATAGCTTGTTCTTCCTCATTTGATTTCCAGAGACAGACTGTTTTTATGTATCTTAATGCAAGATTTTGAAAAAGAAGGAAGAGGTAGCAGGTAGTAAGCAGAGGAGAAGATACCCTAAAGCTTAGTTGAAAGCAGAGGTTGTGGGACATTAGGCCTTTAGCAGATTTTGCAGTGATGGGCAATGCAATAACGTTCATTTTAGCATCTGTGTAATTTCCATTGGCTTGTTCTTGCGACTTTTTGTAGCTATCCCCTGTTTATTTACCTCTATTAAAAACTGACTGGGCACAAATGTGGAATGTAAAAGTACCCTTGCGTAGCAGGACAAACATATTTTGGTGATTGATTTGTCTAGGAATGTGACAATGCGCTTATAAGAAATAAAGCCAGCAATCACAGTTTGAAGTAAGCTTTAGGGGATAACGGTGTCTCTGCAACTTGTAATTACATTGACAAGAGGTAGTGGTAAGTTGGCAGTTACGGTTGTTGTCAGAAATCTTTTTAAAGAGACTTTTCCTACAGTTGCTAGGATCGCCATGGCAACAGGCAGCTGAGAAAAATGTTTGTGGGTGGGAAAGATGGTACTTGGCATTCAGGAAGTTGAGATGGTGTAAGAAGTAATGTTCTCAAAAAAAACTTCTTTAGAATTTGCTAATGTTCCATAATTTGAGCTTCTAGAACATTTTAATGAATCACCTGAGGGCACGCCCTTCCACATAAAAGCGTGGTGTCCAAATCTGTTTTACAATTAGATCATTTAGGCAAGTCTATGCTATTAACAAATACTAATATGAAATGAGGTGCTCTTCAAAAAAATATAAATTTATAGTAAAGTGTCTAATCCTGAATTATTTTGATACTCTGATCTGCCCTGTTTTCTGAGTTAGAGATACGCTGTGAATATGATTTTAAAAAAGAAATAGCTTTTTTCTTTTTTTTTTTTTCTTCTTGTGGAGCACAGTGTTGAAATACTTTTGTGTACAAAGCTGTCCTGACTGACCTGAGCAGCTGGCAGCTAGTAGATCCTCTGTTTCGTTTCTATATATTATGATGTCCTTTAACATTTTGCACATCACAGGCATTTTTGGGGTGGTATGCCTGTGAAGGAGATGGAGAAAGACAGAAGCTAGGATGTAACCAAAGCTGTGCAGGTGAGGATGAAGTTGATATGAGGTCTAGCAGAGCTTTGGTACTGTACAGTACTGTCACAGTACTCTGAGACAGATGGCTTCACATCACTCCTCTTCGTTATAAAAATAATTCTAGGCTATAGTTCCAAAACACTAGCCTTAAAGTGCTTTGGCTTTTTTAGTAGATAGAAGATTTAAGTTACAATGGACTTCTACTTTTCTGGGTCTGCTAAGATGTTTTTTGGATGGGAAATACTTTGGAGTTGGTGACAGTGAAAACGTATAAAGGGTTTTCTTCAAATGATGTATTTCTTTCCTCAGTGATATGTAACAGTCTTTGTAAAGACTGGCGTGGAGAAGGATACAAATTCTGAAGAAGTAAAGCATGATTGTGTAGGTGCTTCTGTAGTCTTTTTGATGTGGTGTCCTGTAGTCATTACTGAAATTACAATAGCATGAAAGAATGCACATTATGTTTTGTTGGGTTTTGTTTTGTGTGTGTGTGTGTTTTGTTTTTGTTTTTTTTAATTAATTCCTCTTGATTCATTTTTAAAAGGGAAAAAATGCCAGCTTCTAACTCTGTGCCAGACACCAGGTTGGCACAAATAAGACCAGATCAGAAACTGTCCGAAGATAAAGAAGTTCTCAGACGGGAGAATGTAAATCTCTTGGAGAGGCAGAAGGAACTAGAACTGAAGGTTAAACAGCTGAAACGTGAACTTCAGGTATGTGGAAATGTGAAAAGGATGCGTCTCTCCTCATTGCAAGTGTTTCTGACAATGCTTCTGTCTTCCTGTTTCATCATACTACAGTTCAGCTGCGCTGTTGTTTGGAATACAGAAGGATTAGACTGGCTGAGGTGAAGACTTGTCTTGCTCTGGTGCAGGGAGATGCTGGCAGTGTGGCAGCACAGATTTTGCAGTCCAGGTTGGACTCCCCTTGGTGCGTGTACTGGCTTGCCACTGCGCTTGATGATGCAAGTGCTGGTTGTAATGAGGATCTAATCCTTGCCTTTTTTTCGCTCACTTAGAGGAAAAAAACAGCTTTCTATGCGTGGGGCTGAAAATTCCTAAACATCACAGAATCGTAGCAGCTGTGGAATTTTAGAACTGGATAAAACTTACCATTTCCTTAATTGCTGCTTAATGGAAAAGATGCTTGTATTTCTTTCCAGGGGAAGTTCCTAGCACTATCTGAGAAGCACAGTATTTCGTAATAGTTACTGATAGGCTTAAAAATGGTGTGAATGGTTTTAAGTGCAATAAACAGCAGTAGTAAGAAGAGATTGTGTGAGAGGACGGTATGTTTCCATGAATTCGTAAAAATGTTGTGCAAACTCTTATCCCTACAGATAGGAAAGGAAAAGCTGCTGTTGTGTAAATCCCTTTGATACCCCCCAAACTGAACTTTCACATAGCTGTTCCCTTTTTCTTCCTTGTGGAATAAAACTAGTCATAACCAGCTTTGCTACTCGTTTACCTCTACCTAGAACACCTGTGTTTCTACATATACTAATCTGTCATTGCAGACTCTCCATCAACTAAAGATACGATGTTTGAGCACTGTTATGCAAAATAAATGAACAAGCAACATAATACATGTCTGCAGCTAAGAAAAAATATTTCAATGCAAGGAATTCTTAGAAGCATTTTTTACCTATATTCTGATTTTTTTAAAAAACCTGTTTTCTATAAATTTTAGTTGCTTTTTTTATGTTGAGTGCAAATAAACTGCTTTAAAAAAAAAGGTTGGGGATATACTTTCAAGTAAGAAAATAATTTGCTCCCTTCTGAAAACACTGTGGTAGGCAATGTTTTATTTTAGAACGGTGATGTATGGTGGTGGCTTTGAGGGGTACTTAAAGAAAAAACCACCCTGCGGTCATGAGACTTTGGATGCTCATCTGCAAATACAAAACAATTTAAACCCTTCTATGTTTGTTTTTTGTTTGGTGTTTGTTTGTTTTTAATATAATATGTAGCAAGTCTGAAAGGCTAACAACTTTTAAAGACTGTGTTTCATTACTTGAAGTAGAGTTTATAAAACCATCTCTGTGCTATGAGAACAAGAGCTTTTAAATGTAGGTCGCCCCTTGAGGAATATAGCCTGATGTGGTGTATGGGCTTGTTTTCGGTCAAGAATATTCCTTATTTTATATTGAGAATATTCCTTGTAGGAAGGTCAGGGTGGTTGTACGTACAGCAAGAGTTCTTGTTTTGCTGTACCACTTTGAGTTGTGGTGGTGATAAGAGGAAGGGGTTTAATGAGGTCCCAGACTTGGATTTCCCTGAATTTTTCAGTAAGGAAAGAAAAAATTCTATGTTGTCTGAAGACTTGCTAGCAAAGGGGGAGTAATTGAAGAAATACACTTGAACACATCACTACTCAAATGAGAGGAAGGAAATGAACCATTAACCTTTAGGAAGCTATTAAAGAAGAAAAATAAAATTATTCTCATTGGTTTGTATGTCTTTCCAGGCATTTTGTTAAGTGTTTTGAAGAGGGCCATCTCTGTGTATGTGCGCGCGCATGTGTATGTTTTCAAAAGACTAAATTGTGGTCTGCATTTTATTAACCCTGGCTGTCTGTTGTGAGTGTTGATCTATCTTTGCATCTCTTTGTTGAAATGCTGCTCCAAAAATGATAAATAACTCAGAAAGAGAAGGAAGCATCCAAGAAAACTGCTGAAAGTTTTGAGGAAACCCTGCATACTTACATTGGAACAAAAATGAGAAATTTGGCTGCTAAGGTGAAAGCATTGAAAGAAGTTAGGTAAGTGTTTTGGTTTTTTTTTTTTTTTTTCCTAAAATAATATTATTTATCATTGCCCTCTTTATCTCTTGAAGTCATGCATGCTTTTTTATTTCCTAAAAGTTTTGTTTTATTATTTTTCTAAGAAAAATGTATTGTTGTATACAGAGGGGAGTACTTCCGAAAAGCAAGGCTGAAACTGGAACTTTTTGGAAGCTCACATTGGAATTTGCGTTGCCTACTTGTCAGTGTTTATCAGATGACTTTGATTAACTTCTGCTGCTTTACCATAGCTGTTGGCAAGAAGGGCTTTCAATTCCATCTTCAAGGAAGATTCTAATTAGTAAATGTAGTTAGTTGTTTAACTGGGTAATCTGAGTTCCTTGGGTATGTGTTCCTTGGGTATGTGTGATGCTGTGAGAGGTGTCTCTCTTTTTAGTCCAAATTGCCCTTCTGGTTTTAAAAGAAAGGACGACACTGCATAGGGAAGAAGACTTGAAATAGAATGACCATCAGCTCCTTTAAGAAGGAATATATATATTGGTGTATGTGTTCATGGAGGATAAATAGAAAAAAATACCAAGACAGGAAGTAGGACAAAATGGAAATTAAAAGCAGGAGAAAATTTCCACGTATAGCCTCATCAATACTGAGGTGTAATGAATGTATTCTTGGTCCTTTGTCAAAAAAAAGGTTTAACAGCTGAATGAAACAAATTGCTACTGCTACCCTTTGGAAGAAACTAGGTTATTAATGTGGCAGGTGATATCTCAAAATTCGTATGTTCCAGGGGTCTGAATTTAAACTGCTTAGGTTCTGGGAAAAAAAATTCTGGTAAAATGTTGTTTCCTCCTTACAACTTAGGCACACGAATAAGAACAGTCGCTCTAGAGAGCAGCTTTCACAATCCATAAAAGTAGTTACCGAAGAATGCCTCTCTGTTCCATGTTCCTTGGAAAAACTGCAGAAGATTTGGACAGAGTATGACTTGGCTCAAGAGAGGATTCAGTTATGCAGAAATGTGGTAGGTTGGAATTATTTTTTTTCTCATGAGCTATAATTTATCAGTTATTGTCAGATTATTTTAGTCTTATAAGTGTAGCTGAATAGAATGAGCACAGCATGGAAACATCTGTCCTTTACTAGAGGCTTTGCTACCTTTGTCACAACTGATGTGTTTGTGGAGTGTTATTTTTTGTGTTAAGCCTAGACTTTTTGATTTTGTGAAGAAGTATAAGGAAATCAGCACGTGATAGCTAAAAGGTTTCTGTTCAGTAATAGTTAGAAACGGCTTCAGCTGTGCAGCTGCAGCGTCTGTCTTTAAAACCTTTTGTTAAAGCAGCATGCCACTACTTAGAATATGTTTCCCTCCTATGCGGAGGCATAGGGAGGGCGGTATGCACATACAGTTGTATAGGCAGATGGACTTGTATAGAGGAAAGCTGCCATCTAGTGCAACTTCTCTGCAACCACAGATCTGAAAAAGCCTGCCTGGGTATGTAGGCATGGCTGTGTTGATAAGGATGGTTATGTACTGCGTCTCAGGCGTACGGCACTGCTGCTTTTGGGAGCAGGAAGGTTACCCGGTCTGTGGTGTGCATTGTGGTAAGGCAGGGAAGGGATGGTAGTTGTATGGCTGGGAGAGCGACTCCAAATGTGTTGTGACTATTTTCAAGTGTAGTGTAAAATATTTTAAATGTGTTTGCTTAAGAGGTATTGCTGTGTTACACTGAATTTACCAGCTCATGAAATGGACTAGAAAATAACGAGCCATGAGGAGACCCCAAGTAAGCTCTGTTGTTGCTTGTGCAAGGAAAAGTATTCAAACATCTATGGCATGGCATACATTTGATTGCTGTGGGTGAAAAGTAGTAGTTTATAGTAAACAAAATAAAGTGAAGTGTTTAAATTTCACAACATTAAGGTAGGTGTGAATAAGCAGACGACATTTTAGTGTTGCACCTTGTATAGGGGAGCAGCGTGTAGAAGAATAGCTAGACTGTGAGGTGTCAGGAGCCAGGGCTGCTTAGGGATTCAGTTGCTCAAGCTTTCCTTGGGTGAATTCCTGATCCCATGTGAAATAGTATCAGTTGCAATTTCCTGGAGATTACATGGGATGGTTGAGCTCAAGTGGGTCTGTAAGCCTTGTTGAACAACAGCACAAAAGTTTTTCTCCATCTGCTGCAAAGACATCTTGGGACTTGTTTTCACCCCCCTTGTCCAGTTTTGCTCTAACTCAGTTGGGCTGGGGATAGAGGGAAAGAAAACCTTTAATGTGGATAAGAGTTAGGACAGATGCAGATACAGTGGTGTGACTGGGAAGTCTCAAAGGGTTTATTCAATTGAGGAGATGGCTGCTTTGGTGTCATTCAGGTGGCAGTGTGTGGGAGTTGTTGGTTTGGGTTTGGTTTTTTTTGCTCTATTTTTGAGTTGTTAACTCCGGCAAGCAGCTTTCTTCCATAAGAAGCATCATGGCAAAGAGGTTTAATTCTTGAAGAGTGCTTGAGGTAGACTAACTAATTGGAATCTGTTAGAGAGTTGGACATTGTCACCTGTTTCAGTTGTGAATGACTAACAATGAAGTCATGTCTGCATGATGTGTTGTATTGTGTTACAGTGCCAAAATATTTGAAATACTGTTGAAATGAGCTTACAGCGTTCTGCTGCTTCTGGTAGCTTCATGTGTGTTTGTGTAGCCCTCTGTTTTGTGTTGACACATGGCTTGAAAACTAATTTTGTTCAGAAATCAACACCACCTCCTGGTCTCCTGGTCCCCCCCGCCCATTCTGACATTGTTCCTGGTTGCCTAAGCTACGGTGTAAATTAGTGGTGGCATGAAATCTTAGGACTTTTCAAGAGCACGCAGTTGTTAAAAAAAAAAAAAAAAAAAAAAAAAAAAAAAAAAAATTCCTGCTATCTGAAGAGGGGGAGTTGTCATGGTAGTGTCACCAATATTTTAAATGGGGAAAAATAAAGACAATGTGAGTTCTGCTAGATGTCAGGTATCCCCCAGAGTGCCTGAGTGCTGCAAAGGGTATGCAAGCGGGAATGTGTGTGGAAGTGTAGACCTCCCTGAAGAATTAATTTAGTTTTCAGGATGAATTGGTAGCAGCTGGAAGCGGAGCATCTCAAGGCTCTTGTGGAATTTGTCTTAAGTATTTTGAAGGCTTTGATAGGTGAAGGGTACACAACAAGAGTTTTGGTTGCATCATGCTAGAGCTACAGTACCATAAAGGTTGCCCTGTTTTAATGTGCAATGTAGTGACTTTATCTTTTTTTTTTTTTCTTCCCCTTGAGAATCATTTGTATTTTTTAAGATCTATTTTATATGCTATAGCATGCCACGGAATCTTGGCTACTGTATTTTCAAATACAAGAAATGTCCAGGATGCACACAGTGAAAGCGTGTGCTTGTTATTCTGCGTGTCATCCCTACTTAAATTATACTGACTGTAGATAGGCTAACAAATATTTTTGATTGGGCAAGTGAGTGTGTTGATGTCACCAACTTTGTTTCTTGCTCAGTTAAAATGAGGTACGTGTAAATCCAGTGTACAGGATGCCCAGTGATCCCAAACAGATGGATGAAATAACTGGCTATTAAACTATAGCAGACTGTTTAACTCAGTTTGCTTAATCTGTCAACCTAGCTGTCAAAATTGGTTTTACTAAGTTAAATCTTGTTATTCAGTTGCCTAAGCAGTGTGCTCTCCTTTTAACCTCCCTGGAGTGCTGATGCCCTCTCTCACTGTCACAAGCCTCATTTGTTTGTAAGCTCTTGGGAGTGAACATCTTGTCTTGCTTTGGGGAAAGCCTAATGCATCTTAAACAAATATCACAGGCGGGAGTAAATCCAGTAAAGCTTGAGTGCAGAGTAAACAGCCTTATTTCAGTTTTCATTGTCTATGCTTTCATAGTTGGTTTATGCTGGTTTAACTAGGTCTGTTCTGGATACTGTCCCAAAAATGAAGGTGGGTGACTGAAACATTTCTTAATGAAGTATTTAGGTAATGTATGTCTTGGAAAGAGAAGAAGATAAGCAGTGAACTGAGGTAGTACTGGGGCATGGTGTGTATGAAAATAACAAAGATGGTTCTTCTGGAGTGGAAATGCTTAAAAATACATTCAAAACTAATCATAGATTTGATGTAAATTCTGTGTCCAAATAGGAAGATAGTAGTGCTGATCACTTAACCAGCTCTCCTATGAAACGTGACTGAGAGGGTGGCAGCTGTACAGATGAAAAAACAGGGATAATTACAAGTTCCCCTGATTGCAATGTAGGCAGACACTCACAGTAATACAGTGTAATACAAATTCTGACTTTTCAGACATTGTAGATAGTGTTTTAAGGATGTGTTGTTTAATTTACGATTTTGAGTTAGAAACGTATTAGAGACTGTAGTGTACATATTCAGCATTTTTAGTGGCAAGGATGAAAAAATAATCATGCTAATGTCTAAAAAAGGGGACTCATTGCTTATTAAAAAAAAAAAAAACAACAAAAAACAAACAGGGGAGGGTGGGATAAATAGAGAAATAGAGCAGTTTAACGAGGATGCTGATGTCAGAGCTAGTTTTAGCTGTTCCATATACTGCAGAGTAGTAACTTGAACCAAAGTAAGGCAAAAACTGGGGCCAAAAGTAGAAATAGGCTCCAAAAATGGATCACAGCTTGTCGATGGATGGGGATTAATTTTTTCCCCCTCTTACTTATGAGGTCATTAAATCACACTAAAGCAAGAATGCATTGATAGGTGACTGCACTATACATACCCTGCTCTTACGGACTTTCATAAAGCATTGCTATAGTTATCAGAAACAAGATGGTAAGCTAGCTTGGCATTTGGTATGATCGAGTCTGGTGGTTGTTTGTGGAGTGGGTTTTTTTTGTTTTGTTGTTTTTTTGGGTTTTTTTTTGAGAGAGAGGTATAAATGAACCAGACACAAAATAAACTAAATTTTGTAGTCTGAGAAACCTTTAGCCTGTTCCAAAGGAGTTTAATTCTACTGTTTGGTGTTGTGATGAGCTTACATCTTTGTAAAGCAGACTATTAAAATACTGCATGTGTCCTTAATGCTCTCTGAAGTTATTGTTATTTAACAGGCATTATCTGAGCTGTGAGCTGTTGCATGTACGCAATCAAATGGCAGACATTGGAAGGAGACTTGTCCTGTGGCTCCTGAGCTGTCTGCTGAGTTCCTGGATTGTCATTTAGTCACATGTAGACTGTTAAATTTACTCTAGTGCGTGAACTGGTATTAATTGGAGTTGGTTGCCTGGTTGAATCTTCTCGTCCATCAAGTCTCTATTGCTCTAGTTTTTGAATTAATATTCTGCAGGAATCTTGTCTTAAAAAGGAATAAGGACCCCTTGTCATAAAGAACACTTTTTATGCAGTGTGTTACAGTATTCTTTTACAAACTAGCTTCTGTCCCATGCAGGAAAACCAGCAGGAAGTCTATAAAAATTGTGTGTGCTTTTGGTCACCAGAGGTGCCTAAAAAGTGCAGAAGTGCCTATTAAATCTTTTTGTTGTTGTTCTTTCATTTTTTAAGTGCTGAAGCAATACATTGTGTTCATCTATGGTAGAACTTAATCCACTGATTTTTATTACCCAGCCCACTAATGTCTAACAGATTGCTAATTTAAGTTTTAAAGCTGTATATGCTGCAGCTTGGGGTTTTATTTTTAGTTGGAGTTCGTCCATCTTTCAGTTTCCAGCCGTTGGATCTCATTCTGTCCTTGTTATAGGCAAAAGGTTTGTAGTCTATCTTCCGTGGATACTTACAAACTCCTGATTTAAGTCAACTTCTAAGCTTTCACTTGGTAAACTAAATTTAAAAACTCTGACAACCTGTGTTTTTGTACAAATATTTATATTGCAGATATATAATATATTACTTGTTAGTAGGAAGTGTTTATTTGACTGTTCTTTGTCTCCGTGTGAAACTTGTATTAGTGCCACGGTTAACTCTTCTGTTTTTTTTCTGTTTCTTTACTTATTGCCTTCCACACTAGACTTTCCAAGACCCTTTTTTTTTTTCCCAGGGTGAGGAAGGAAATGCATGTCAGGACGGTGTGTTATAGCTACTTCAGTTATTTTACTTACTTTTTTATTTTTTGAGATGGATGTAGAAGGGAATAGCAAATCTTTACAGCAGGTCTGTAAAGCTGTAGTTTGGTCTTCCATGTTCATAGTTGTTTTAATATGTCTGTGGGCGTGTTGGGTTAAATCGCTGTAAAAAGAACGCTGCAGACATGCTTCTGAGTGACTTGCTTCATCCATTTCAAAAGGTTTGGTTTTGGTGAGTCTATTAGGTGCCTTGTCTGATATGAATGTGAGGTTCCTCTCCCATTAGCAGAATTAATTCTGCCAGTCATCCAAGGGAAACTGTTGGTTTTGGGTTTTTTTTCCTAGAAAATTATTTTTAGTTTAATAGTCATATTGCAGGTAATCAGCAGGAGTCTACAGGTCACCTGTCTTTGCTGCTAGAAGGCAAGGAACAAATTGGTAAAAGGATTTTTTTATTTTATTCTAGAGTATTCTTCTCCGGCAAGAAATCTTTTGCGGTCTAACTTTGTGGATGTAATTTGGCATGTATGGAAGTGTGGGTACTCCAAATTCTCATTTCTGTACTACAATAAAAAACTGCAGGGCAACGAGGACATTTTAAGTTTACAACAGCAATTAGGACTCCCACTGTTATCAATAGTTACGCAGAAACTGTTTCTTTGGTTGTCTGATAATGTCATATTTTTACACTGTAAAGGGTGCTGTATTTGTGCAAGGTGGTCGTGTCATAGTAGTAATTTGCTTATTCGCTCATTCCTATTCAGGCATGTATTGTATTATTCATACTTTGCAGGGATTAATGATTTTTTTGTATCACTTCCCACATTGTGTATGTGGCGTTTGGGTGTGAGTTGCTCACTTACTTTTCCTTCTGCATAGGATGAAATAGATGAATTAATTGCCAAGAGAAATGAAGTCCAGCAGCACTTGTATTCAGCAGCGGAAGAATTAATTTCAGAAGTGGATCAATTACCCCTCTCTGAGCGCTCAAGAACGTTACAGGTAAGGAGGTTGCTTTTGTCAGTGTTGATTCTGAAACACACAGAACCTCTGGAGGGTGTTTCTTAATGTTAAACTTCTTATAGTTGGAGACCTTGACAGCGGCAGGTGAAACTTTAGGTAGCACTTCTGAGTTAAGTTGTACATCTGACACCTGTAGTTCTCAGTGTGACTTGTGATCCTGGTCTCCTAGATGTTTTGTTTCTAGACGCGAGTTATCTAGATCCTGGATTTGAGCAACAGCTTTTCTCTTATGGGACTGTATTTGGTGACTAACAAGACTTCACAAAGCACAGAATATTTAGCAGAAGGTAGATGTTAATGAGAGAACCTGCAGTTAAAAAGTCAATGCAGTTATCCTGCAAATTGCAGTGGATTTTGTGGTTGGGTTATATACCTTCCTAGCCCTTTCTGTTAAGGTCACACTGTGTAGTTTGGAGTAGTATAGCAAAGTGTAAAATATTTAAAGCATTTTTTTTTTTTTTTTTTAAGGTGAGAGTTAAACACTACAGAAGCATGTGTTTATACCAAGAGTCCCTCTCCTTCCCAGCCAACCCAACAA